TGGGCCCAATTTTTTGAGGTCTACCTTCGGGAACAATCTTCTGATTTTTTCTTTTGCCCTTTCAAGCATGTCGGGTTTGTCATCGGTATGTACGAAATAACCGAGCAAAGAGGTTTCTTCCTGATAAGAAGTGTCAGGTGAGCCGGACCGCTCGTGAGGAAAAGTACTCATTTCCGTTTCTTCGCCCCCGTGGTAGGGGTCGCCAGGTTGGTACAGAGTGGACGCCGCGCCCGCCTGAAAAGGATGCGTTGTGTCAGCCTGTTCTTTGCCTTCATCAGAGCCGTGGTCGAGCCGTTTGTCAAGGTCCGGGTCTCCGTAACCAAATTCGCTACCGCCTTCCGCCATAGCGATATCTGAAGCCTGTTATTTTTAAATTAGAAAATTATCGCCGGCGTATATACAATGTCAGTTCCAGAGAACCTTCGCACGACGTACAGCAAAAAAACATTACAAGGCATGCAGGCCGAGCGCACGGTCAAGCGGATCACCTTTTCCCGCACTGAAGCCAACCCCGGCAATACTCTGTACGTTTACGTTCCCAAGCTGAACGCGAATGAGGTTCTGGTGCCAGGATCGCTTGCGCTTCTGTTTAACATCGACCTTTCTGGAGGGCACGCCAACAACTTCCTTGTCCGGAACGTCACACAAGCGCTTGTTGACAGGCTGCACGTGACGTTTGGAGGCACTCGCCTGCATAACACGGTCGGCTACGGCATCTGCAAAATCTTTGAAGACCTTTTCCTTTCGCAGGAAGAAAGAGACAACAGGATCCTCGAAGGGATTCAGAGTGAGAAACTATGGAAGATCCGCTCAGGCACGGGAGACAAGAAAACCACAGGCGTCGACGCTGAAAAAAAGCTGAACGAGGTGTACGGGAGCAAGTACCGGATCAGGCTGGACCATCAGATCTTAACCGACCACGGCRTTTTCTACCCCCAGGCCCTTTACAAAAACCTCACGTTCGAAATAACCCTGGCTGAAGCTGCACATGTGGTCAACGGCTCAGATACAACCCAGCTGAAATACAAGCTGACCAACATCCAGCTCGAGTACGATATGATCCGCAGCAAGACTCTGGCAGATGAGGTGCATAGTGTTTACTCTAGCGGAAAGGAGTTCACCTATGACCACGTGTTGCGTTCCCAAGTGGTGACCTTCAAAAAGGACACCGACACGAGGAAGAACATCAAAATCGATGCCCAATACAGGTTGCTAAAAGGCCTCCTGCTACTGTTCATAGAGCCATATGCTGATGGCGCCAGAGATTCAGAAAAATACGTCTTCCCGGATCTGACGAAAGTCAGCGTCACGACCAACGGCTCGCCAAACATGATTTACAACAACGGCGTTGAAGACAAGGACATGTGGGAAGAGGCCCAACGCTTCTTCGTTAAGGAAAAAAATAAAACTGAGCACATGGATGTGACAAAGTTTTACACCAGAGACAATTTCGGGCTTCTGATTGATATGCGCTCCATGGCGACCAAGAAATTCATGGAAGTGGCAAGCGCATTGTGAACAGTACGGACGGGGTCCAGCTGGAAATCGAGAGGAAAGCCAAAGGCTTAGGCAACGTGAACTGCCACGTATTTGTCATCGCCGACTCCCAGTTCAACATTATGGAAAGACAGCTGGAATCTGTACACAATTAATAGCGCTGCAAAGGGCAAAACCTTTCTCCAGTCGGAAGACATGGACCCAAGCAAGATACCCTTCAACGCTCTCATCGTGGGGCCGACCAATTCAGGCAAATNGTACACAATTAATAGCGCTGCAAAGGGCAAAACCTTTCTCCAGTCGGAAGACATGGACCCAAGCAAGATACCCTTCAACGCTCTCATCGTGGGGCCGACCAATTCAGGCAAATCGAGGTTTGTTGTGGACCAGCCCTACGGCCCTTTCCACGCAAAG